TTCTAAAAATTAATCCTGCCGAAATCGTATTTCCCCGATTAGTGCCTTAATAGAATAAGGTGCTATAAATATAAGATGAATAAATACTCACCAATTCAGCTAATTATCGCCAGCAGAAATTTTGCGGAAGATGCAAAGATTCGAGATAATGGCGGTCATAACCTTGCAATTCACGGAAGTTGCTACAATTCAATCACGTATTATGAATATCTATCTCGTACGTTTTATAAACTTATTTACGTTAACGTTGAACATACGGTAACATGAATTCTTATACTGATAATTATTCTAGCGATCGACATAAACTCGACTGAATTTCGTGAAAAACAGAAAGACACAAACGACGCAATAAACGGCGGTTGCAAACGTAAACAAAACAACTAATGGCGAATTCGATTGGAAGCACTAGTGCGCACTGGTGCATATTAAAGCCGTTGTACACTGATTGAGTATAAAAATGAAATGCACAAATATTTCGAATGAAATACATATTTTACCTAATAGTACAATAAAATGTATGAGTATTTCACGATTTAATCAATTTCTATATTTATTTATAAACATATCTTTACGTTATTTTGTGTATGACGGCTTTAATGTGCATCAATGCGCACTTAGTGCGTCGAATTGAATTCGCTGTACTTATAATCGGCAAACTTCATTGAATATTTGTTTCGAAAAAACTCGATCGATCATTATAATTTTTCTAATCTCTAGAATTAAAGTTTCGATTGGCGTATTTAGATTTCATTGTAACTCAACAATATTATGATTAATTACCTATTCTTTTTTGCGCTTAAAGGACGTTATTAGGACACAAGAATCGTTGCGTTCGTAAAGAGAAAAGATGAGCGTGCATGGCAAAGACGGAAGTTGGGATTCTCTCTTGAAACTGCATCATCGGCGGAGCGAGCGCGCGGCATGGTAATTGGTATTTTGCTGCGCGGATAAGTGGAAACTCTGTAACCCGCGGGGCCGGTCGAATCCGTGACGTCGTCTACGTCTACGTGCCGTGCCGCTCTCTCGTATTCGACGCATCGTGCAGCGATATTGGTATTGCGAACGCATAACGGACGTACGAGGTATCTTTCGAAAGACCCACGCGATGCACGCTGCCTGTGGAACGAGTGCCGGGCGCGGAGTTTTTGATTCATGGGCACGACCCGATGGAAACGCATATGCGATAGAGATCGCAGACATTGCCAGGTGTACTGAGTTACATGCTGTCGGGCATGTCGCAGCGGTGCTTCGATACTACGCGAAGAATATGGACGTAACGCTTGTAAGTCGTAAAAATTCATTTGCGAGGATATAACGTTCTGTCGACGTGCGATCGTTCCGGTAGCGGTAAGGTTAAGTTTTGCAGTGCGATGCGGACAATCGTTTCTCTTACCGGCCGTCACGCAGCAGCACTGTGTAACGGCGCTGCTACGTAGCGGCGAGGCGCGCATTTAACTCGATGCTAGAATTATTTGTAATAAGAGGTAAGACAAATCGCTATATATATATATATAGTTAGTCAAATTAACATATAAAACTAATAAATGTTAGTGTATGTATATAATATTGAGTTCTTCAGACTCTGCGTATTTAATGTTAAACAAGGACAAATGATGAATCCGAGGCATCGGAGGCATCCGAGCGACATTTCCGAACGCAGCCAATGTACTACATCAAATTTAAAGATATTATCCGTTAAAGTTATTTAATTTTTTTTTTCGACATCATCCGAGATATAATATACATAATAATGTATATGTTGGAAAAATCAAAATTTTGAAAACATTAATTGTTTAGTATGATTACTTACTTGTTTAAGTATGCATGAATTAAATTTAAAAAACATGGTTCCAATAAAATCAGGTACTCCACGAATACTTTCCAATTTAAAATCACTAGACATTTTCGTGCACGCGGCGACACAAGTTGTATTCCAATTGCAATCGTCGACACATATTTGGAAAGCATCCTATGCATTCATTATTAATTATTAAACCTTGTGTGTTCACAATGCTAGAAATTAGTCCGAGATATCAGACGAAAAATAATCGCATTGGCCATGTGATGATTTGTTAATTTTTCTGTTTGAGATCTCAGATTTTTAGAATTGTGGACGACGTGGACACAAGGCTTTATACAAATAATTAAAAATAATTATTCTATTGTCTTAACTCTTATTACAGGAACTCTACTCGATACGATACGGCGGTGTTAAAACGTTGATCGTTTGAAAGTTTCAAGAGCCGTAAACGTGCGGATTAATTAATACTCGGATATTTACGGATAATTATTAGCGAGTTGTTCGATTACTTATTAAGTATGATATCCGGATGATTTGAATTTTAATGATAATATTAACGAAAAATAAATATTTATTAACCTAAAGAATTATGTTCATTAATTGAGTTAATAAACTCAAACTATAAGAAATATGATTGAAAATGTTAATTGCTAAGTGCTAGAATTTATTTTCTTTTTTAAAAAAATTTGTTAACTGAATAAAAATATCTATTTTCTGAGCCTATAAATCGTTTGAAATTTCTTATATCTAAATTGAAAAATATTTAATAAAAATTTATTTTTAGTGGTTTATATGTACCATGGTATATATATAAATTGTGTTAATTTTTTTTCGCGACTGGCGACTATACATATATACAAAATACACAAACTTTAAAGCAATTTTTTTCATGTGTAATAGACATACGAAAGTGATACAATTTTAATAATTTTTGCAATATTATATTTTATCCTTTTATGTAAAAATATTAACAACAGCTTTACTTAGAAATGATGAATATTATTATTTTTCTAGAGTATCAATTCGATATCAGCACAATTTCCCTATGAAACACAATATTCTTAGAAATTATATGAATACTAAAAAAGGTGAATAATATTTATATAACTAGGTAAGGATATTGTGCGCTTATGGGGGAATATAGGGTTGTAGCTCCTTGCACTAAGATACTCGATAATGATTTCTCGCATATCATTATCAATGTGAGCTCTTTGAGGAGAGTCTTTTCTCGGTAAAAGCATTTTGCGGATTTTTCACGATTAACAGCGGCCTCGAGGCCAGAGGTTCAATCTCGATCAGAGGCGGCGTGGTGCGGGCGCGGGCGCGTCTCCGGGATCGCCCATTAACCGTGCGTCTAGCGATCCGCAAAAGCGAGACGACGTCGTAAAAGGGGAGGGGCGGTCACGCCGCGGCGCCAAGGCAGAGGCAGCTCTGGGCTCTTCTTGGGCTCTCGAGTAGCATCGCGGGCGGAACGCTTCTTCGAGAGATGCTCCTCCATTATCGTAATTTGCAAATTTCCCCGGGACCGCGATGAAAAACGACGAGAGGCGCCGTGGTTTCGCGTTGAAACGCGCGAGTGCGGCCAAAAGGGAGGAGAGGCAGACTGCTAGGGGTGGAAAGAGAGGAAGATGGCGAAGCGTGGGGAGAGGAGGAACAGGAACCGCGAAGACGGTGGCGGATTGGCGGCCTCGGGCGCGGTTGCGGATTCTCGGCGTGATGCCGGTGATTCGCGGCTTTGGTGCCCAGTAATCCCAGGTCCCCCGCTCGCCCGGCCATATTCCTCCTCCCGCGCAGCCCTCCCTCGGTCTTTGATACAGCGCGGCGGCCCGCTCCTATACGATGTATACCGTCGTCGCGGGCGGGACGGGGGAGCCTCAATCTCGCGGTAAATACAGCAATCGCTCGCGATGTGCCGTCCGCATTAATATAATTAGTCACCGCGAGCGCTCCGAGAGAACGATGCCGGGGAACGGATTCCGTACCTTGCTTGCGAGTTGCGAGTTGTGAGTTGCGCTCCGGGCGGCGCACGCACGCACGCACGCACGAAATATCGCAGCCGCGCTTAAGTATTTCGGGGGATGCGAGTATCGATGACGCGCACCCTCAGGCATCGTACGTCTACGACGCGACAGATCAAGTTGCTGTCTTGTCGGCTGTTAACCAATTATGCTCCGTACCATGTCTCGCACGCGGCACTCGTTCCACAAAATTTTACAGAGAACATCGACGGTAAAATTTGGGTACCGATAGCATATTAATTAACGTTTTGTATGTCCAGCATGGCTCCGAAGAAGCCCGAGGAACCCGAGCGAAAGCCACTTATCGGTCGCGTTGGTACTAATTTAAAAATGGGCATAGTCGGGATTCCAAATGTAGGAAAGTCGACTTTCTTCAATGTTCTCACCAAGAGCCAAGCAGCGGCCGAGAATTTCCCCTTCTGCACCATCGATCCTAATGAAAATAAGTATCTTGATATACTTGTGTGAACTTTAAGCGAAATTATTAGAATTTAAGCCTCGAATATCCTCTGTCCTTCTTTCCTGTTTCTACAACATTATTGTATTGCTAAAGTGTAATTAAGTTGTCTATTGATAACTATTTTTTCATCTTATTTATCCTTATTAATTGATATTTGGTCCGAAATTTTCTTTGTTGGTATTTGCAGGTCTATAGTGTACTTTAAATTAACGTATCTTTGCTTAAAGTTAACGTAATCGAACGATTTTTTTTTTTCATTTTCAAAGGAAAATTTGAGAAATAGGATTATATAATTGTAACTTATGTAAAATTGTGAAAAACACTTATCCTAAACAATTTTTCACAATGTATATTGAAGAAAACGTGCGGATCTACTGGAATTGCAAATACCGATTAAGGTTAATAATTATAATCAACTGAACTCTCCATTTTAAATTATACTTTAGGCGAGTTTTTTTATCGATGGATTAATCGCATTATGTGTAAATGCAATTTGAATCTGCATATGCACATAATGCGATTTCATGAATTTAAAAATACACAATACAATCGATGAATTTAAAAACTCGCTTTATCTTATGAAGCAAAATGATAATTTAAACAACGCATGTATAAATCATTTTGACTTCGCTTGTTTAACCTTACTTGCATATACAAATACGTGACAAAATATTGAACTGAAATTAAAATCGTTGATGTAAGTTACTTTAATTATACAAAAATGTGTGACAGACATTTAGAAAAACCCAGGCAGAATCATGCTGAGAAAATTTTTATTGATGAATCGTTTATGACGAAAAGAAGCTTTCTACAATTAATCGAAGATTCTCAAAAGGTTTCTGCACATGTACCCTCCTCAATTGTATATCCAAAGGCTAATTTATATTACGCTTTTGCTGAAGATGTACATCCGATGAAAAGGATTGTCACCGCTTCTAAGCTTTTTGAAAAGGAAAAGCTTTTACCGCAAACTGTGTCTCGCAAAGAACTCTTTACAAATCAGGATCTTTATTTAAAAGACGAAGCTATAAATCATTATCTTAGAATCGATCCACCGAGTTTCGTTATTTTTGGAAAACCTGGATTAGATCACGCCAACATTGCATCGGCGATAGCCGATGCTTGGAACTGCGTTTTACTTTCGCCCACGTCGCTAATTCGACAAGAGATCGATGCTGGTACTGACAAAGGCCAATACTTGGAAAGAATTTTGCGGCTCGGTAGATCTATAGGACCGGAAATTATTATGAACTTGATACGCTGCAGAGTCAGAACGAGGGATGTCAAACACAGAGGCTATGTCATTGGCTGTTTACCGTTTATTTCGAACGATGTAAACTTTAATTATCCATCATGTTCCAGTCCTGTTTTGAATATAGATGACACTTACCCAGAATTTTGCGAAAATACGATGATTGAATCGCACGAGATACATAAAGATCGCTTCACATTCGATGGTTTAGGTTGTAAGGTGCAATTTGATTACGAACGAGAAATCCCTCGACAGATTGACGAAATATTTACCATATGGCCAAGAAAACCTCTGATAATTATTTATCTTGTGTGTCCGAAGCAAGACGTTGCTAGTAAATGCGCGCGGCAGCGCATGACAGGCGATATTTTTGACGAAAATAAATTTGTGATGCAACTATCCGAATCCGAACACGACGAATCAGACACCTCGTTTGATTTCTTTCAAATTGCAAACAAACGACTAGCCATGGATAATGATCAAAGATTGGTGAAACTAATATCTGACATGACACGCAATATTAAGACACAGTGTGATCTTTACGAACATTTGGCGTTGCCAGTAATCGATAAATGGATTCTCGCGCATAATCCCCAGCATGTAGTTCGCGTGGATGGCCGTAGCTCCGTGCGACGAATACTTCACATCCTCAAAACACGTTTACGTACTTTGGCATTACTACCATCGATTCTTCCAAAAGGAATGATCGAACAGAATGACACACGTTTTCTTGGAACATCTCCAGAAATGAACTTGAGCAATGAGCTTGCAAAAGAATCTGCTGAAGAGGCTTTCGAGATTTTAAGACTAAGAGAAGTTGTATCTCTCGGATTCCCCTGGAGACTTTCCGCATGGAAGTTTTACTGCCCTGTCGAGTTAGCACAAGGACGAACCGTTAAGGGACTCCCGAAACACGCGGTGCGATTCTTGGACATGATCTTTTTTCTCTCTTCTCAAGAAGCTTCAAATTTGTTCATCGAAAATCCGAGAACTTTTTTATTGCCACCGAATCCGCGGCCAACCTGCAAGATAGCGGTGTTTGGGCCAAAATACGCTGGTAAATCGGAACTTAGCATAAGATTGGCGGAGGTTTTCAACGGAGTCGTGATAAATGTTGATCAGATTGTAAAAGAATTAGTTAAACAACGCGAAAAGTATTCGTTTCAAGAGTATTATAAGAACGATTCTAATGTAGAACAAATTTCGCTGAAGTCTATCGACATATCGGTTGATGAAAAGGCTGATGTTATTATACAGAACATCAAGCGAATACCTGATGAAAAGTTAGAAGAGGAGCTTCGAAGAGATGGCGGATATGTTATCGATGGAATGTGCATGGATATCGAAGTCTGGCGAAAAATTGTTAACGAAGCTAACATCATTTTCGAGGACGTTATCGTTTTATTTGAAGAAGAACCGTATACCTACTTATCGAATAAATTTCGCACTTTTTCTCATTTTGATGGTTCTATAGATGATACGGAGGTAGATCGTGAAGAACAAATAGTATTACATGAAGATGCGGAATGGGAATATCTTGAACATTTAACGCGATTCGAATCGGAGTGGACGAAATTCGAGGAACAAATTTCTGAATTTAAAGGAAATAAGATAAAGTGCAACCTCGCGAATATCGAAGATATAATGGAATACGTGATAAACCATATTAAATATCGTTTCGATTTTGCAACTATCGCTACGAACGTCGAAAAAAAAAGTAAAGAGAATGAAATATTGGACGAAACAGCAGTTGAAAACGAAGCAAATTTGGCTGATAAAGATGCTGAAAAAAAGGAAAAAAAAAATCTCACATACATCGATCTTGCCACAGCCGAACGACTTCTCGACTGCGGTTACTATTTCCTCAGTTCCTTCGGTCGGTGGTGTCCCGTGCAACTTTACACCAATACGATACCAATTCAAATGTTTCTGCCAATGAAAGCTCATGGGCAGATTTTTCCAGTTGTGTACCGTCCATATATTTATTTCCTTGCGGGCGAAAAAGCGCTCTCGACATTTCTAAATAATCCGTCGAAGTATCTTGTGCAAGATATCCATCCACCGCTTCTTCCGCTTCGAATTTCCATCATCGGACCGCCAAAATGCGGAAAAACAACGTTGGCGAATCGTTTCTCGAAAACATATGGTTTGAAGGTAATTACTCGCGGCAAGGCGTTACGCCACATATTGAAATACTATCCTTGGACTGAGTCGGCGCGTATAATCGAAGATCAACTTCGAGCTGGTCAGGTTGCTTCGATCGAATCTGTAGCACGTGCCATCGAAATGTTATCTATAGGATCACGCGCTGTAACTCAAGGTTACATCCTGGATGATTGTCCTTCAAATCGTAAAGAAATCGAGCAACTAGTTGTTTTAGGAATACAGCCAATGATTGTGCTTGATTTCAAAGCGGATTTAGAGTTCTGCCTCGAATGCCTGTCTTGGGATAATGATGACACCAGAAGTCCATTGAATTTTTCCGCCAGTTTTCTATCGCGACGTTACGAGGATTGGCAAACGGGCCAAGCGAGTTTTCGAGACTGGCTAAAAAGGTTCTGGCAGAACGTAATCGAATTGGATGCTACTAAAAGTAAGTGGCATGTGTGGACTCGCGTAGATCACGCGGTATGCTCACGATTTGCTGATATCATGCTTTACTTTTATGAGGCAAACTTGGATAAGGTTCACAGTTTGAAGCACATGTGCGTATCGCCGTACGAGTTTCGATCGCTTCAGAGTCGATACGAATCGTACTGTCCCATTTGCTTGTTTTGCGAAAACATCTTGAAGACTTCTGGTCAATTGGTAACCAGTCAAGGAATAGTCCAATTTAGGGAATATTTTTATTGGATTTGTTCGCAACATATAGACGCTTTCGTTAAAGATCCACTGCATTACCTTTCACCTATTACTGCGTCTCTTGTCGATGAACGACCTCGGATATTGCAGGAGATAGTCGACGTGGACCACGCTTGTTGGGCGCAACGTCTCCAGGTCGGCGGGTTGTGTCTAGTAACTTATGTCGACAACCTGCCGAATCGCAAGCTAACACCAGGCAGAGTCGATTTAGGTGCCATCCTTAAGGATAAAGTATATCTCTTCTGCAGCGAAGAATGTCGCGAAAAGTTTCTCGCGCAGCACAGTAAATACTCTGAAATGGATATTGCGTTTCCTCGCGAACTTCCATCGATCGAAGAGCAACGTTTGTCGGACGTGGCTTTCCTGGAGCAAACGGTGGCGAAAATGTTGGTCAAAGCTGTAACTCTGGTCGGCGCTTGTCGTCCGAAGATATTCGGCTTGTCGGCGGCTGTTAGCGCCGCGGTTTACATCGGCGTTTACTTGAAGACATACAACGTGACCGAAAACTTTACCGAGATGGATATTTACAAGACCGCGTGCAAGCGAATCGATGGACGAAACAAAATTATAGAGATCGTTACTAACACCATGAAAAAGATTAATCCCTATTTATCTGTACCAAAATAATCCTGTTAAATATTCCTTATACATTGCATGGACACGTTTATCTAACAATAAGTCATGAGTATCTGTATGTTCTTTGAAACATTATTAACTCTCCGGAGCTGACGGAGTTTCTCCAAACTCTATAACAGTTATTGACACTGGATCTGTAATACTGACATAATCTATAATATTATCAGTACCAACAAATATTTACTGATCGTAGTTAATATTAATAGATTGATTTAGAACACTGTTAAATCCATAGTGTCAAATTTAACTTAACGTGAGTCGCCACTTTGTATAATTTGACACTATAGATTTAACAGTGAATATTAACGGTGATCTGGATTTTTTAATTCTCGAGCATTAGTATAATAATAACTAAAAAATATGTTAAGAAAATTACAGATTTTGAAACAGTGTATATTTAATTATTTAATAGTACAATCGATTATATTTACGTGATTAAACACAACTATAAATATATGTGTCTAAAAAAAATTACTATAAATTATTAGTTATATATAAATTATAGTAATATGATAACCATTTTTTTCTCTCAATAAACATAATGAAAATTGAATTGTTTGCCATTTTTAACAAAAAGATTTATTATTGAGTGAGTCCAATAGGTCCGTCAGCTTCGCAGGGTTAATTATTTTTACATCGTCAAGAATTCAAGCTATCCGATTATTTTTTTCCAGCACGTCGCGTTCCGGTGCCTGACGCGAGATACGACTACCTCTGCGAATATTTTAAACCGGCTAGGTAAGAAACAGCAAGAAATGTTCCTAAAGTACATTGAACGTAACGTAGGGTAAATGTGTACAACAGAATGGAAGCATATAGTGTCGCGTAAAGATGCACCCTCGTGAAAGGAAACGAGTCGGAATAACGGGGGACATTTCCATACTTGTTCACTTTTATTCCTGGAGAAAGACGAGGGAGTTGGAAGGGAGCGAGGGGCGATCTGCAATGCAGATTGGTCTAAATTCGTCTACGAAACGCGAAACGTCCTCGTTCGCCGACGTTACGTTTCTTTATTCGCCTCAGCACGTGACGTAGCAATCTTAAAGCCGGATACAGACTTACAATGCCATGGCACACAAAAAAAAAACTTGAGCAGTAAAATGTAAGCGAATTGGCCAATCACATTAGAGATCGTAAGGCCATTAACATAAAGACCTTATTAATATAAAAATATAGACAATTTGAATTTTTATGGAATATTTTATATAAATATTTTATATAAATTTATTTATATTTTAAATAAATTCATTTCGAAGTTCGGTTTACTTTATTAAAATATTAAAAATAAAATTTCTTTAATTATAAATTTATTGCTGAAGGTGCAGACGAAGTTTACGAAAGTTCCTGGCTGTACTTCAATAATATGATGTTTCTTTTGGACAAAACTTTCTCTTCGCTCAGTTTCATACGCTGATGCCTAAATGTGAAACGTGCTTGTCTTGCGCCAGATTCGATAGGAATCGAAGCATTAAAAATGCGAAACAGCATCGGATCAAAGAGCGGCCGATTCATCGGTACCCTCTAGTCCACCCTATTATCGTCGTCTATGTATCGGACAACCCCGACTGTCGGCACGTGTCGGATGATTCGACGATCCGTGATGAAAGCCGGCTAATACACCATCCCTCTCCTCTCCGTCTCTCCGTTCGTCAGTTCGTCCACTTTCACCGACGCCTCCCTTCAAAGGCTAATTGTTTAATGAGCCCGTTGGCATTAGCATTTAAATACACCTCGTTGTCACTGTCGTCCCTCCCCTATTTCCATTCTGCGCGCGTGCATCACGCGGTAAATGCCTTCGACCTTTAATTCGCGATCATCAATGACCTCCGTTGAAATCAGCGTACGCGACAAGCGCGTTCTCGAAATACTATCCCGTATAGTAGATTACACCTATTCCGATTTATGTCCGTTTCTATCAATATAGATTAACTTCGATTTTGATTTAACTTAGTTTTTATTTTTTTCTAATTCTTAAAACTTCTAATTTTAAGAATTAGAATTTCTAATTCTGAGAATTAGAATTTCTAATTCTAAGAATTAGAAAAAGATAAAAAATAAGTTAAATTAAGATTAATCTACATTGATAGAAATGGACATAAGTCGGAATAGATATAATCTACTACATATGTGTGTATATGGGTGTGTGTGTGTAGAGGGGGGGGGGGGGTATTTCAAGACCACGTTTTTTTTAATTAACAAATAAGTTATGATGCACATTGCAAAAAGTTGTACAAATATTTAAAACCGTGTTATAGATATATTAAAGTTTTGAAATATAATGACACAATAAAGAGTAAATTAAACTGAAATTACAGTTATTCATTGCTAGATATAGAATTAGACTTTGACGAATTTATAGCTCATAACTACGATTATAACTATGATTAAAAGGATGCATCTTTATGCCGTTCGACATTTATTCTTATCTGATAATAGTAATTAGAAATTCGGATTTCCAGTAAAGTTCCGGCCTTCTTGCACGTAATGGATATTGCTGGATTGGTGAAAGGCGCCTCCGAGGGACAAGGCTTAGGAAACAGTTTTCTCTCGCACATTGGAGCTTGCGATGGCATTTTTCATCTCTGTCGTAAGTATACTACCATTGAAAATGTCGCCGTTCGTTACTACTTTTGTCTAACTTGATTTGTTTCCGTTATTAATAACATTTTAATCGTTTCGCATTGACGTGACGCAATAAATAAATAAATCGCTGGGAAGATACTTTCACAGAACTTTATCAAATGCGGAATCGCGACAATAGCGATTACGCCGAAAGAAGGAAATTTTTGTCGATGAGATCGAGAGATTGATCTCGAGCGATATTTACTTTGCGTCTGTTGATCGTGCAATCGCGATTACAAACTTATTTTTACGACACACATGTGTACCTTGTTGGCATTACAAACACATGTTTATGGTTTAACTATCTTCCTGGAAACACATTACATTATTGTCCCTCGCGATAATCCAGATCGATTAACTTGCACCTATTGTTGCGGATGTGTCCTTGTCTACTTCACACGTAACTAACAAGAAATTATCGTAACAAGATATATAATTTTAAAAGATCTCAATTTTTTTTATAGAACGCATTTTCGATTACTAACGCATATTTAATGTAAACTTTAATTAACTATTTTTAAATTTAAAATTTTTAAAGAAACTCGATTTGAAACTGAAGAACTTAATTGATTAGCAAACATCTATCTGAGTAACGTATAATTTTTTTATATTTATCATAATCAAAATATGTAGAGAAAATATTGTAGTATAAATTATATTTTCTTTTGAGTATATTGTTAAACTAAAATATATGACAAAGTAATTATTAGTTTTATTACTATAATGATTGACAATCAATTGTATATGCATTTCATCAATCACATTAATAAAATTACAATGCACATTGCGAGAAATTATGTAGATATTTTAAATCGTGTTATATGTATAAAAATTTAAAGATATAATAACACAATTAATTAATTTTTTATCTAAAAATACTACGTTGGTATTGTAACTTTTACTGCATGATAAAACAGCTTATATAAAATCACTGTAAACTCTCATCTTGTAAAATTTCTTTTTCTCTTTGATGGAATTTAATTGCTTGAAATTGTATATTACGATATTTTTATGATATTTGTATAAATCTCTTGTAAAATATAAAACATATATCCTTGAATAAAAATATCATATTTTCCGTTATAACATCAATTTCAGTACATAACAAAAACTTATTGTAGTCTTTATAATATTTCTCCGCAGAATGTAAATATTACCAAGTGGAAAAATGAATTTATCACGATGTTTACGAAGACACATAATTGTTAACAAAACTAACGGCACGTGGTATTTCTCATATCTACGAAAGCCACAAGATCGTAATCTATGTACTTTATATCGCGATAATGTATAACACGTAGTAATTCGTTAAATGAGTGCTAATTCCTTTGAGGGAATGATCGTTAGGTATATATTATATTCGTACTGAAAATAACATTTCGAGGTAGTTCTTCCGGTTAATACGCCTTGCTAGGCCGCTGACAGGTGGTAATTTTTTCAATTAAACCAACCTGGCAATCTTCGCGTGGCAGTGGCGTTGGCGGTGGTGGTGCCTCGTTTAAACAGTCGACATGCGAGCCTTGCGTTGAGGCGTTACTTAAGTACGAGCATCGTGCAGCCCTAGTTTCGAGATTACGTTTCCTGACTTGGCGCAAGAGATCTGTTTACTTGTGCTTTATTAGGTGCATTCGAGGACGACGATGTCACCCACGTGGAGGGAGACGTCAACCCCGTAAGAGACCTTGATATCATTAGCGAAGAGTTACGACTGAAGGACGTGGAATTCTTAAACATCCACCTCGAGAAGCTCGAGAAGCTTGTGATACGCGGTAATGATAAGAAACTGAAACCTGAATACGTAAGTATTTGACCATTTCAGTAGAATAGATTCTTTAAATGGAGATACATGTCTTTGTCCATGTGGAAATATATTTTCGAAAGAGCATAGCAAGTTCTACGGAAATTCTGTCTGCTAAAAATGGCCGCGTTCAACAAAAAAAAAAAAAACAATTTTGCAATTATTGTAAAATTCTTTAATATGATTGAGCTTGCCTTTAGTTCCTCATTGGATCTAAATGTGTAAACCAATTTATTAAATAATTTTATAACAGTTGTGTGCATGTGCAAAGCTACTTTTTTTGCTGAACGCAGCCCGAGACGCAATCATTATCTTTATTTGTTTGCGGAGTTAAATCTAATTTATAATGCTCTTACAGTGCTCTTTGCTTCCTGTTTTTCGTCTTTTACCTTTTGTCTTTTTTCCTTTTTGTGACTGTTTTATCGACAATCGTGTTTCTTATCACATGTTTTTTGTTCGTCTGAAATTTGTCAACTTTTATCTCAGGCGATAGGGGAAATGAAGAAACAGAATAAGAGGTAAAAAGGCAAGAGATTAAAAAATGATAAAAAGCAAAAAAACGGAAAACAAAGAATATCTTCTAGATTAGATTTTATCGGCATTCATTACTATAACGTACAATGTAACTTATATATTTTCGCTACGTACGCAGTGGCATATATATATATACATTATGTTAAACTGTCGTGATAATTTTCGTAGAAAAACGGAAACGTTTCAAAAATTATCATTCAACGGTGATAACGTCCAACTGAGTCTTAGGAATTTTCTTGCGTTTTTCCCCTCACTTGATGTTCATACGTGGCGCAAGAACGTCTAGCGAGTACAGTTGCAGCCCCTTTTGTCAGGCCAACTACGAAATTACTGAGGAAATTAAGAGAACGCGGGCGAAACGAGGCTTCCTGGAACGAGTCGATCGTCGGATTTACCCTCCTTCCGCGGATTGACCCACGGCAATTACCGATCTCCCCCTCGTTCTCGACTTTGCAATTTGGCAAAAGTTTTCGAGAATTCGAAGCTACCTTTTCGTCCTTTCTCTCTCTCTCTTTCTCTTTCTCTCGGCAAAGCTAATGGGACCCCGTGCTCGACTAGTCCAGCACGATCCTCTAATCACGATTCGATCGCGAAATTATCCTACTCGATGGCCCACGTTCGTGCATCTGAATGTCTGGCGAGATCGATGAATGTCGAAATCGTTACATTTGATTGTCGAGAAATAAGGCCGTTACGCAACAGGAGTGAATTTCGGGATTAAGTGGAATTTTTCAATCCATATGTTGTAGGATACGCTTCTGAAAGTAAAGGGCGTCCTGACGGACGAGAAAAAACACATCAGGTTCGCCGATTGGAGTGCCAATGATGTAAGTTTAAACATTTTACATTTGTGTATAATACATTTTATCGTGAATTATTAACCCTTCAATGCCCCATTATATTTTATCACGGGTGTAACACGCTGTGTATGGCATATTAATTCAGTCCAACTTTGCGTGTGTGCTTATAATTTTTATAAAAATGTATATAAAAATGCACATATTGCAACAAATTTTTTGTCAATCAAAGTGTCACGCATTAAGGAATACAACGACATCAAACAATTATATATATTTTTATTAATAAAAAGAGTTCAATAAAGCACTAAAGTAAACAAAAATTTCGAAAAAAATTATCTAGGAAAAACAAAACCGGATATATCATACCAAGAGTAGCACTGAAAGGTTAAAAGAATTTTCCACTTTGATTTTAAATTACACTTCATGAATTTTTAGATCGAGGTATTGAACAAGTATCTGTTTCTTACGTCGAAGCCGATCATCTATTTGGTAAACCTGTCGGAAAAGGATTACATACGCAAGAAGAACAAATGGTATGCGATATAATAGATGATTGAACTAGTACTTCCCAGTTCATTATATCTCTTGCTATTCTTTGTAACAGGTTAATCAAGATAAAAAAATGGGTCGACAAGAACGATCCGGGCGCGGTGTTAATTCCTTTCAGCGGCGTTTTCGAAAACAAGATTTTCGATATGGACGAGGCGGAGTGCGCAAAATACTTCAAGGAACACAAAGTCACCAGGTTGGTATCTCTCGGCCTCCTCCGGTCCGTTATAACGATTATTATTACTTTTACCCTCTAAATGTTGCTGTGTCGCGCTCGCAAATAAGGGGGTACGGCTCCACGTCGTTTACCACCGCCTTTAAAACTTAGAGAAATTCAGTAGTGTGGTTCTCGTATACGTCGCTCGTTGCCGATTGGCGACGAAGCGCCGCAAGATTGCAGGGAAAAGAAGGTCGGACGTTCGTAAAATCGCGTTGCGGACGCATCTCCTTCGACCGAGTTTGGGGAGTTCCCACATTTAGCTATGCACCGAGTTATTCTCTAACGGTAATAATGATGGTGGGCATCGTCGGCGTCTAGACCCCTGTCCCACTCTCACCACGTGGAACAGCTAATAAAAACCGTACCCGGCACGGTCGCGGCGCATTATGTTTTTACGAACGGCTATTCAAATTCTTGCAAAATTGCATAAAAACCCCTCCTGCTCTCGTGGGCACGCTGGTATAATCGAGGAGGGTGGGTGGAGCGAGAAGTAATCGGCGGTGGTTCGGCAATTCGATTGGTTAGCGGGTCATTCGTACCCCAGGGCGGTACGTGCGTTGTACGTGGTATACAGACTTGCATCACGATTTCTCCTTTTTTTTTTTACTTGTCAGAATGAATTTTAATCGAGCTGTACGGTACAGATGTAATTATGAGCCGGAGACTCAATTAGGGCATTGAACAACATTGAATTAAATCCGATTCGATACGCCAGAAAGTACTTTAATAAGCGAGAAAGAGAGGCGGATGTTGGGAAAATATTTAAATGAAATAGTGGTGAGCGAGGAACGTTTGATATTTCCCGCGACATTTATTATATAATGTTTTCTGGACTTTCTCTCACGGCTGGTGAGGAAGTAGGAGAGAGTCCACGATACTCCCCAAGTTTGTCTAATGATCGGAGAATACAAACGAAGGGACGAAAGATACCATGATTTTATTTCGAGACCGCAGATAACTAAGGGCGCTGGGAAATAGGTCTCCGACCGGAGTCGGAATGATAAAATTGCGGTATTAAGTCGTTCGGCTTTATGTGTATTCTTTGAACTCTCAGACTTTCATCAGGCTCACCGCGCGTTGGACGGCTCCACTTGCGCTAACCCGTTATTAGACGATATTTGGCCCGAGACAATTTTATTCTACAACTTGGACACTTCCCGCTTTGATCGCGGACGCGCCTCATTTTTTTCGAGATTCGCGGAAAGTGAGAAACTTACACTTCGTCGTGTTCGGTATATAACAGACACCTATCTTGGTCTCAATAAAGAAACACATTTATTTATTGTATTCTTATCTATTGTTTCTTTTCTCTGTATAGTGCACTCGATAAAATCATTGTACAAGGATACAAGGCGTTACAGCTGCAATATTTTTTCACATCCGGTCACGATGAAGTCAAGGCGTGGACAATTCAGGTAAATATAGAATTCATAGCAATAAAATTAAATAAAAATTAATTTACATTTAGAAAATTTCATAATTATATTAATGGAAAAACGAAAAATTATATATTAAATAACATTAATGATAATTAGAAAAATATGTATTATATATTTTTTGTATATCTCTTATCCTTTTATTATACTAATGTAATTAGCAAAAATTTTATTTTTATTAATTTACTGTTTATTAATGGATATTAATGTTACAATATGGAAATGTGTTTTTTCTTTGTTTTACAGAAAGGCACAAAAGCGCCTCAAGCTGCGGGGAAAATACATACAGATTTCGAAAAAGGATTTATCATGGCGGAAGTGATGAAATTCGAAGATTTCAAGAACGAGGGCTCGGAAGCAGCAGTAAAAGTATTTGAATTACAATTATAATTTTGATATTAGACGGTATGTGACACACATTTTCTACTTATTACATACGTTTTATTTTGTCGTTAGGCTGCCGGAAAGTACAGACAGCAAGGACGTAATTATGTAGTCGAGGATGGCGATATTATTTTCTTCAAATTCAACGCAGGCGCTGGGTTAAAAGACGCGAAGAAGAAGTGATGGCACGCGTTTCTCATGTTGATGTTGGTCTATCTGTACATCAACATGATTATGTTATTCTGTTGCATGCAACGTCCTCGCGTTAATCAATCCAACTCGCTTCCCCATCCTCCCTAACTTTTTCATTCACGATAAGGATCTATACACGTTAATGTGATGTCGCGATAATGATAATTATTTTTATATTTTGATTCTGTAAAATCTATAAAAATTAATCATGCTCATGATGCGTTTGCAAAATCGCGTTCGCATCATGTATTGGAATAATCCAATATTCTTCTTGTTTAAAATTGTGTGTAGAGAACGATTGGAATATATCCATGTAATGTTTTTATAAAGAATAATATGATCTACACAAAAGAAAGAGGTAGCATTTTCATGTTTATTTTCGTGTACATAATTAGCTGATTGTAGATCGCATTCTATCTATATTATTTTTCACTTTTTATCTTTGTGAAAATGTGCGGACAGAGAAAGGACAAAAGAATGAAAAGAAAGGGGTCGACGTGTACGTAAAGCATTTCTTTGTACTCTTCTGTATTTATTCTACAAATATTAAACTACATTGATGTAAAAGGATTGTAGCGGCTTCGTCATTTGCGAATGTGCTCTACTGTTAGTTATAGTAACATTATAAATAATTATTCTGACAAGATGCGCTACAATCGATAAAAGATCGCACACGTAAAACTTGTCGCCAACGATTTATCCTGTACGTAGGATGGTATATGTGATTACAGAGTCAACCTCTAGATGGCACGAAAAGTTCACATTTGTTTCTTTGGTATAATAATTACGAAATCATAAGAGACTCTTTTAATTTTTTTTCTGTTTTAATTTTCTGTTAACGCGGAAAATTTATCGCAATTGTTATTTAAGATTTATTTAATTGTAGATGATTTATCTATCTTCTTCGGATAGTATTTTCATCCGTTATTGAATGTTTTATTGAGAAGTCGAGATTTCAACCATTGATAAAATTCTACCTCTTGTGCAAGCACTTTTCTCAAGGCTATGTCTTTGATTCGTAGCCTTGAAGTTGCCGAAGAAATGGCCGGATGCTTCTCTTTTGGTCCTGTATATAAGCAGAAACATATAAGACACGGGTATAAAAAATGACGGAACGCTCAATCGATAAGATTAAAATATATAGATATATGGATCGATAAATATTTATACGAAAATAATTCAATTTGAACGATACAGTTACTTAACACCTTACATTGCTCGTTATTTGGTCGTTTAAATTGAATTGTTTTGCATTGCAAACGTCGAGCGTTTATTTATTTATATTTGTTTGTATACGAAAGTACTTACGAAAATGATCATAGACACGGATAGCATCCTTAAAAAAATAGGGAAATTCAACTGCAAATGCGTTTAGTGATTCCTCCATGTAATCTAATATACCAACAACAGGATACCATCGAATAACATTTGCTTTAGCTCGCTCCATTGCCCACGTTTTATTTTGTTCCCTAGAGGAAAACACGTACGTAGCATAAAAATCAATAGCAGCCACTTCATTTTTTTTTTCCATAAAAATATTCTTACTCGGTGTCCAGCTAAAGTAACAGAAATGCCTACTCGATATGTAATAAAGTGTTACATGAAATTATACGCAATGAGATTTATTTGAATTAATTTGAGAATAATCACCTGGGATGATCTTTGCACTCCAATAACGAAAAAATAAAGCTCACAATAATTTTCTTTACAGATTGAGAACCCATATCTATTTTTTAAATTTCTTGTACGTTTTTTTAGAAAATATTCTGTGAGTAAATCTATCATGATAATCTCAAAAGTATAATATATTAATAAATTGAAGAATCAATATACAATGTACATACGTACATAATTAATAACGATAATTCTTAATTAGGATGTAAAAATCACTCTTCAGATGATCGTTCGGGTGACGTAAAGAAAATTAGAGCAATAAAAATACTTGCATACAACGTGGATCCTGTCCACAAAAATAAGGTATAACTGCATAATAATGCATCCTTTCCTCTCCTTTTTTATACCTGAATCATATCAAAATATGATTATTTTAATGTAGAACTTCGTCGTCTTCCTAATATTTTCTTTCCTCTGTCCCTTTTCTCCCTTCTTCACCCCATAATAATAGGAAGAAAAATATACTTTTGCCAAATTCGTAGATCCAAGGGATCTCTCACTAAAGATATAAAGGTAGGCCCTTGCCGTCCAAATTCTGAGAAATTTAGGAACCTTACATCCCCATCGAAAGTTAAGGGAATAGCTTCTTGTCTGATGATACTCGTAATCTCTTCTATTAACAACTCCTGTTAAATCAAAAGTATCTTACGGTTTGCGATATAAATTAAGTTACGACCTCTAAAAAACTCTTTTGTGAAATATAAATAAAAATTATTAAATTATTTGTAAAATCAATTAATCGAATCTTGAGTAAAAATCAGGGAGAATTTTTTCTCGAACCTGCTGTAAACTTGACAAGAGCCCGTTGTCGCCCGGCGGCAGACGTATGTGTTTGAAAGCGTTGTATCCTTGTAACCTCTGCAGGATCAGCACCATCAACTCGCCACCCGCACCGGGTATGCGTGTCAACATGAGAATGTGCTTATGCTTGTATGGCAATTCGCCCAATTCGGCGAGAGACGGAGTAATATATCGGTGCGTCTGGTTGACAGTTATAACAATCGTAAATAATCACGTTATAGTTACGTTTCGTGATAAATGGATGCACTAATATCTTATATTTTTAACCCAAGAATTACCTATAAGTTTTTCGCATAAATTTACCTGGGATGTTTTTTTACACCTCAATTAAAAGTAATTATTAATTACATAATATATTGTTTTCATAATATATTACAGTTTATTATAGTATTTAAGATCATTATTTAAATTTATTCAATATTTTCTTTGAAGAGTAGAAAGAAATAAAATAAAATGTGATTTTCGATCAGTAAAGAAAATGATTGTAAACTTCATTTTCTCGCTGCTGAGATGTAAAAATTACTCCAGGAAATTATTTCCAGGTCAAAACCATTTTTCAATAAAAAAAAAACAGAGGCGTTAAATCGCGCGGAATCAATTGCACGTAAATCGCTGAATATGTCCAGTATGATTGCTATACGATTTTGTAATAGTATGAAACACGTGCTTTTGCTCCATCGTGCACATCTCATGCTCGAGGAATGCATTATTCTCCATTGCGCAAGCAGAAGCAGTTATCTCGGTGTATTACTTTGAAACTGCATCTGCCGCTCACTAATTAAATACAAAATTAAACGATGATACGTTCCGCAGCACGTGCTTCAATTTGATATACACACTTGGAGAATATACAATTAAACCCGAGTCAAGATTCAAGCAAGAGATATTCTAGGAAATGCAAAATTTGTCGACGCTAGGTTGATATATTTAATTATAATTGACTAAATTGACTTGGAGTCTTATTTAGGTATGATAAGCATGATGTATGTATTAGTCTTCACCTGACTACGAGTGATCCATCGATCATCGGTACGTGACGCTTCCGGTTTCCTCGACACACTGCGTTTTTCAGTGGTAATCGCGGACCCGAGTAATTCTGTGGACGACCGCGTGTTCAGAACGACGAAAACTATCGTCAGACACGTCGAAAGCGATAACAGGAGACCGCGATTTCGACGCATCTTTTTTTATTATTAAATTGTCAAATATGTGTATAATACTGACGTAATTTCGTAGATTCTTTTACCGAGAGATATTCTATGGATTATCGAGGCCGTCACTGAGTAACTGAGGAGAATGTTAGTGGGTCAGGCACCATAAACTGTATGATCCCTACATCTTCGCCACAGCCTACGACCCCCACCGATCGGTTGACTGGGTGAAACGCAACATTTCACTTTCCAATGCATACTGCAACGGGTGATCGCGTTTGCATATCATTCTGTATGACTAATCTTTAATGGCAACTTCAACCGAACCCGGAACTTACAGCGAATTCAGTTGGACGCAATAGTGCGCACTCTGGATATTAAAGTCGTTGTACACTGATTTAGTCTAAATATAAAAATATCTCGAATTATAAAATACGTATTTTATGGCACAACAAAGTGTATCGATGATTTCGCGATTTAATTCGTTTTTATGTTTATATTAAACACACATTTTTACATCAATCCGTGTACGACGGTTTTAATGTGCGCCAGTGCGCACGTGTGCAATTAAATTCGATATTAATCAGCGATTAATTCAATCGGCAAAGTTGTTTACAACAAAATTTCGAATTATATTACTTTACATCATTTCTTTCCACGTATTAAACGGCAAAGAATTAATTATTTATATTGATGAAATAGTACAAGCAGTATTGATTGATAAATTTTAATTACCAATTAAATTAATCGGAATTTAATCAAAGTTGTCCTGAGGGCGATCTTGATTTAATCGATCATTAATTTTATTACTCTCTAAAACTTTTAAAGTGAATCTTACTGCTTTGAAAAATAAAATTCATTTTAAAAGTTGAAAAATTCACTTCAAAATTTGAAAATTGAGCCTTTCTTTTTCAAAACTGACTTAATTTTCACTCTTTAAAGTGAAATTCCATTCCAAAGAATTTAGAAAATAAACATTAGGTGCGTATATTTCATGTTTAATATGAATAGGATAGTTAATATTTTTTTCTTTAATATTAAAAGAAAGGTTTAATTAAGGAATTAGGGAATTGAATATTTTGAATTTAAAAAATTATAATTAAACTATTTTATCAATTAATCATCGAAAAATCTGATAAGCAATCCTGTAAGCAAGATGTAACAAATATTAAATATATTGGCAAATTGCTACCAGCAGATTTATCACGGCAGATTAGCATCAATGCTCTACCAGCAAAGTCAACGTAATAAGTCCGATTATGAATAGAAATTATCAAATAGAATCTAGAATTTTGAAAGGATTTCAATGAAAGATACCATTTATGATTACGAAATGATGGATTCGGGTTCAATTTCTGTCAATCTGTCAATCATATTCTGTTAACGGATCTCATTATATTTTCGCATTCTGCATTGTGCCGAAATTTGTCGATAGCAGACAAAGTCTGGTTTCGACAGATTTGTCTATCTGGGAAGCGCGAGGAAGAGTTCCTCGAGGATAAAACGTCGCGCGTTTGAATTAAAGTGATCGAACGGGTGCATCGGGCAAGCCAGTGCGCGGTGCAGAGACCGGCCGGTGCGGTGGCGCCGCGATCCACGTGGTTCACGTGTTGTGCGCTCTTCGCGATCTTTCTACCGACGGGTCTATTTGTAAACACGCGCGACATAAGATGGACGTATACGAGCAGTGCAGAAAAGATTGGGAGGATTTCAATGTGTCGCGAGAGGAATTGAAAAACATAACCGACTGTCTGAAGAAGGAGGAGTTTCGCAAGCTGTTAATCGAGTACGCGGAGGACGTGGCCGACCCGGATAACAGGAAACTCTACGAGAAAGAGATCACCCAGCTCGAGAAGGAGCGGGGCGTAGACGTGACGTTCGTTAACCCCGAGCCCGGTTACGTCATTAAGACCAGCGTGAACGGCGACAGGAAGTGCTTTTTGAACATCAGTAAGAACGACGTTGTCGCGCGTCCCACCAGTCAGCCTTCCTACGAACAGGGCCACCGTGGCCTACAGTGGTCTATTCCGTATACATTGATACCACCCCGCTATGACCTTGACAAGAAGAATGTGCGGTGTGTGGTGTATGACGTGGTCTTCCATCCGGACACCATCTACTTGGCATCCAAGAACGCGCGGTTCCGCGAGATCGTCAATAACACGGCTATGGATGGCGTGGAAAATAATTTTAAGGTTCATATCTCTAATAACGAATTCGGTCATTTGTATTACACTAGATTAATGCTGATACTGAAAGCTGTTATACATGAAATTAGGAGTTAAATGTAAAAACATATAAACATTTTAAATGATTAAATACTTAATAATGATATTGTCATGTTATTTAGCAAAATGTACATGTATTATTTCATTGTTAAAGTTGATTATATTATTATGCCACTACATTTAGATACCTTATATAAAGCAACCTTTAATGTGCTAATCCAGCGTAATGCGAATAGCCGAATACATTTATTAGCTTGCACTCCTAAATCTGTTCTTTTAATTAATGTTCATTTTTACTAAAATTGTTAACTTTAATCTTGATTCAACTTATTCCTTAACTTTCTAATTTTTAGAACTAGAAAAAGATAAAGAGTAAGATAAAAGTAAATTAAACTCAGATTAAAGTTAATTTACGTTGATAGAAATGAACATTAGCTGAACTATTTGTATTATCTTTTTTCTTTTTTTTCTCTCTAAAGTGGAAAGGAAATATGAACCATACCAAAAAATCAGTTGGAAAGGACACACCTAATTTAATTTTTGTAATACCTGTTTCTAATATGTGTTCTTTATGTTTTGTTAGGTGAAATTGGACAGAAAGAATCTGAAATTTCCTAAGATTAACTTCAAAGGGATGACTCATCCTACAGTGATCAGAAAACCTTCGGAAACACCACCGACAGAACCACTGGATTTAGAACCAGAAATCTACCAGAAGATAATGTCGAATTACGACGAATGTCGCGAAAGCCAATTAAAGCAGACGGAAGAAAAGCTCCCGAAACGTGCCCCGCCAACCACCATTTATTGCAAGGATAAGCAACAGAAGCCTGCAGATGAAAAATATGTTACGCCTAAATTTTCTATGAAACATCAATCCGATGTAGAAATGGAAGATTTTGTTTTAAGCCGAGACGCAAAGATGTTTGCCGCAATCCCTAAAAAATTGGTGATTATCATAAATTTACCCTTGTTGAAAAGTGCTAACGACGCAATGCTCGATGTACATGAACAATCTCTTACCTTGAAAAGCGAAAAGCCTGCAAAATATTTGCTGGATCTTCCATTACCATATTCCGTAGACGGAGATAGTGGGAATGCTAAATTTGATCCAAAGTACAAAAGATTAATTGTAACTTTACCAGTCATTCGGCCATTGGTACCAGTAGGTGATACTGATAGAGCGGATAGTGAAGTTGACAGTGATCAAAATAGTGCTGCAATATTTATGTCCAAGGATGATGAAAAAAATCTATCTAGTAACAAAATAGAATTAGTGAAAGAGTGCGAAAACACGTGCAAAAATATAGAATTTGATAAAGAAAGTGAAGTAACAGATGAGTGTGAAGATACTGCCTTACGGACTAGTAATGAGACAGAAATCACTGATGTGTTTATGAATCCTAGTTTTAAATACAATTTGCCTGCTTATACTTGTAATATTTACAATAATCAATTAGCCATTATTATAAATGTAAAAAACGTAAATCCGGATGCAATTCACTACAAAATTTTAGATAACAATGTAGGAATACATATCTTGCTAACATCTATAGGTGCTGGATTTTTTCCACAACATTATTCATTGTGTCTTAAGATAGGAAATGGCTACATTGAACCAGAAACTCTTACAATTGAACCATGGGACAATAACGTTGTTTTTAACATCACAGTGAAGGATATTGAGAATGTAACACAATATTTTGTTGGAGTGGATACAGAATTCATGGAAGGAAAAGATCTTCCTACAACAGCGTCATTTACGAGCAAATTTAAAGAATTAATGGTAAAGATATTATAAATGTATTGCATACTTTAAAATGTAGGAGAATGTTATACATTGTCTATACCAAATAAAATATTTTTACAGTTCTCTCCAAAAGCTGAGCCTCAGGTAGAAAGACAAATCTCCGTACAGCCGCAAGATGATGGTATTGTCATAAATATTCGTCCAAATCAGCAGGATTCTGACGACGAAGAGGAGCATGAGGAAAATGCAAGAGTTGTGAAACGGCGACAAGAGAAGAAGTACATTGAGAAAGTCAGATCAGTTTCAGAAAGTAGTGGAGATGAATTAGCTAGCAATAGCAGCAATAGCAGTGTGAGACATTCAAAAGGAATATTAAAGTCACGTCGCGCCCGCGATTTTTCACGTTCCATGTCCGAATCGAGTGCCGACGAAAACAGTCTACCTGCATCATGCACAGATCATTATGATGATCATTACGATTCCGTACATGATATCAATTCTGAATCAGATTGTTCCAGTTTGAAAAAGACTGTACGATTTAATGATGTTGTTTCACGACAGTTATTTAGGTATTGTAACAAAGGATCAATTATCTTTTTAAAGGTTTCACCGTCTCCTATTAACTTAATCGGCCGATTATTTCATTGAAACTGATCAATCGCATTTGTCGTTAAGCAGAATTGACCAATCATAGTTGAAACTAGTTTTAATCTCTAATTCAATTTTCATCTTGATCTTTTTCTGATTTTTAAAACTAGAAAAAAAATGAAGAGTTAGTTAAACTGAGATTAAAATTAAACTACATTAGTACAAACAGGCATTAATCGACCGATCAAGCCAATCGGAAATGGTGAAATCCTAAGAGGAAAAAAGAATATAATTTTTTTTACAAGTGATATATTAATAAACTCATTCGCATAATTTATCATTTTCTTTTTTTGTAGATCTAATTCGAGTATTCTTGGACAGCGAAAGAAAAATCAACGTAAACTGCGCAATAAGAAACGCGCGCATGATCGCCGACTAAGCGAAAGTGAGAATTCTGAAACCGAAGAGCGTGACAAATATAAAGTAGATTATAAGCGGACTCCGAATGAGGAAACTTCCGAGAACGTAAAACCCATACTCGCACGAGATAAACGAGACTCACAGCAACAAAGAACCGCCAATATTGAAATCGTGAAATCGAATGCTGACGACAAACATTCTTTACATAAGCGTAATTCTAGCTTCGAGGAAAAACCCACCGAAGATGTTCAAACCGATATCTCCATTAAAATCACGAAAGATGCAATTCACTTGGAATTTAAGAACGATCTGATATTTGATCTCGATATGTAGAGACGTGAACTACAAGGTAATTATGCATAATGTGATAGATGTGATAGAGAATGTTATCCGATTCTTTTTAGCAACTCTGTAACCTGGTAATCGGTAAAACTCAATACTGATAATGGAAATTTACGTATATAACATTACAAACTATTTTAGGATTTGTAGTATCAAAGATACTATTAAAAATAGTGTCAAAGATACTGTTTAAGTGGGAATAATTTTTTTAGTGCGTTATTAGCATAGAAGTAGTAACCAGAGAAACACTATGGCGAATCAAAATCATTAATCCATTTAAATACTTGACTCACATTAGTGATAACCGAAGCTTAAAATTAGCTTCTAATATCCTGAATCTATAAAGAGAAATAGAACTTTACTGGGAAAATTACTCAAAAAAAGATCGTATTAAAATATTTAGATAACGGAGCAACGCTATACAGTTAGATACTTTTTTTGGAATCTTATAGAGAGAAAACTGATCACGTCATTGAATGGATTTAATGAATTGGCCAAGAAAAAGTACGATCCTTTTTCATGCACGTTAAATATTACTGCCGCATAATATATTTAATTTTTACTCGTAGATAATGCTTGATTAAATCAAGAGTTATCAAATGATAAATCGTGGATACTTTGATAGAAGTACATATAATTTTAATGAACATCGTATTACATGCATTTATGCAAAAGTATGTTTAGACCTTGTAATATACATATACGATGCTTATGCCAACAGTTTGCACATATATACAGATCGCATTGCAATGAGCGCTTGTCAAAAAAATCATGTGTATGGAGATAAAAATTAATATAATTTTGTTTCGAAAATTACTAATTATGTGATACAGAGTTTTCGATGCCTAATGTTATTAAAGTCATATTGTAAAATACGAAAAGTTGTCTATTTAAAGAAATTTTTTTGTTGGATAAGACACGAAATTAAAATATTAACGATTTTATATATTATATATTGATATTTTGTAATTAAATGTACATAAGGTTTATTTTGATCTGGTCAATGAAAAACTGTTTACATATCTGCGCTCTTGTAGCATGTTTCATTCCTATGTTATACACCATTTAAGGATTTTTACCGATAAGTAATCCGCATAAATTGATACGTTTACGCAACAATATATTCCTGTAATGATATAACGCAAGAATGAAATAAACACATAAAATGTTTTTATAAATGTGAGATGTATTTTTCGATTTATTAAATTAGTATAGTAATTGACTATAATATTTAAAGAAGTACTCAAATACGAAAAAATTATTCCTATATTTGAAAATTTTATTTAACAAATATCTTTTAGTTGCTCTCTAAATTTTTTGGAGTAGAATCTCATTCTATAAAAAGCGAAAATTGACCTAATTTTGAAAGAATGAGATACATATATACAGCAATGAATCGATTTGACATCATTGTGCTTTTAAATTAAAAACTGTTTATTCAAAATTTTTGCTTTTAAGTACTTTTTAAAACTTTTAGAATTAATCTCACTCTGAAGAGTGAAATTTCACTCTTAAAGATTAAAAAGTAAGCCACTCTTTTTCAAAACTGGCTCAATTTTCACTTTGGAGTGAGATTCTATTCCAAAAAAATTAGAGTACTAATACTGGTATCTGAAGCGGATCGGATTTTTCAGTCGTGACGATCTAGCTAATGCATAGGACATGTCGATCGTGTATCACGGCGCGTATCCGTGAAACGTCAGGACACCCGTCGGGGTGTCGGGTCGTGCAATGCCGTGACACGACGTGAAAAGCAGGACCTACAGAGGAGGAACAACGGCGCGACGGCGAAACGTGATGATTGGAAAGTAGGACACGGCCCACGGTAGAAACAACCGGGCCGCGCGCTCCGAGCCACGGATGAGAGTTCGCCCCCGGAGTTCCGAGACCATCGATCCCGCTACTTGCGGGGGTTGTAAGGTCGTTAAACTCCCCGGTCTACCTGCACGTATCTTTCGCCGCATCGCGCACTTCCTCGTATTATTCCTATTGACGTACCATCAGGAAAGGAGTCTCGACACGAGGCAAGCCACGCGAACGCGACGTTCTAATTTCGTGTGATCGCGATCCTATCAGTTTATTGTCGTCGTCGTCGTCGTCGTCGTTGTCGTCATCACCAATGCGACGGTTTGTTTCAATTGGATTGTACCTTGTACGTTGCTACGCGGCGATGGCGGGAAATGGTGCGGTGAGAAAGACAATTTTGGAATAGAGATTTTGTTACGCGATCGTTTTGATGAAACTTCAACGAGACGTATCTTTTAGTCTGATCTTTAGATACTTATTTGCCATATTCTTAATTACAATAAACTCATAATAAAATTTTGATTTCCAATTATCCTTTCGATATATTCCGGATGATTGAAACGAGACTTGGTAAGCTCTCTCGGATTTGGACACAAAAAACCGACTTTCCTTTCCTCCCTATATGAGGAGTAGACTTTCAAATATTTTTCGATGAAATCTCTTAATGCTTCGAAAATCGCTCATTTCAGAGATCGTTCTCGTCAAGATGATAATGTTTACATAGTTAATGTTATCCATCTCAAAGGTCGTGATCTCCCAGTCGAACGAATTTATGGGATGTTTATTTGAGACAAAGGAGGAAACGAAGAAATAGCCAAGTCCAATTTCCGAATGCTTATCGGAACATGTGATTGAAGTACAGGGGATTAAGGGTGGTAGGCCTGACTGGCATCAGGTCGATAAGTCGTCCACCCCCTTAAGGTTCAGAAAGTCGGTGGCCTGTACCGTCGAGGGTGCACGGAAGAGGGAGGAAGAGAGAACGAGGAGAAACGGCACGTACCCCGCGTGCCGCGGTTACGGCCGGCACGACATCGGCAATGCGGCAGCCGACGGCGTTTAATGTCGCTCTACTGTCGGCCAGTCGTTGCACCTGGCACCATTCGCCGCTTGGCGAACGCAGGTGGAATGGAGGTGGCTTAGCGATATTAAGGACGCGGCCGCTCGTCGGCCCGCGTAACACGGTTTCGAGATTGGGCACACACGACCGAGATATCGATGGCCCGCGCTAACGTAGACCGATGGTGAGCGATCGTTACGCGTTATCTCCAACTGTGCTACCTCAATCAGGGAGAACTACGATAGCGAGAAGCGATAAAATGGAGTCGGAAGTTTCATCTCTTTGAAGGAGGTGATTCTTGGTTCTTGGCTCTGTATATTTGTATACAGTAACGTTTGGTAACAAGCCAACTTGGATCGAACTTCGATTATCAATTAACTCTTAAAGCTCCTATTCTGCAATTCTTAACGTCACTGTCGGTATCGTTATGTTATAGCGTACCTTTTTTACTCTCTAAATTTTTTGAAATAGAATCTCACTCTAAAGAGTGAAAATTGTGTCAGTCTTAAAAAAGAGTGGCACAATTTTCAATCTTTAAAAGCGAGATTCACTTTTCAGAATGACATTCACTCTAAAAGTTTTAGAGAGTATCCCATGTACGAAACTTGCGTAACGACAATCTAATGTCGATATTGTCGTTAATAGACATTCTACAATGAGCCATTATCTAATGGACTTTCTATGCGATAAGCCATTACTTACTCTCTAAATCTGTTGGAGTGAAAATTGAGCTAGTCTTGAAAAAAGAGTGAAAATTTTTCACTCTTGAATAAGAATGGTAGATTTCCACTCTTTATTTTGGAGAAAGATTTCATTCTTTTGGAGTGAGATTCACTCCAAAGCGAAGGAATAAAATCTCACTCCTTTTTTAGGGATAAGACTTCATTTCTTAGAATGACTCACTCCAAAAGAATGAAATCTCACTCCTTAAAGAGTAAAAATATTTACTCTTTTTTTCAAGACTGGCTCAATTTTCAGTCTCTTGGAGTGAGATTTTACTTCAAAAGATTTAGAGAGTAAGCTTCAAGTCTTAAGCCGTAAGAAATTGACTAATCGATTATTCTTCTCACATTCAATTGTGATTGATTAATTTCTTACAGCTTCAAGACTTAAAGCTTAGCTAATTGTAGAAAGCCTATAAGCTTTTTAGGTCTTAAATCGTAATAAATTGATCAAACACAGTCGAATGTGAGAAGAATAATCTATAATCGCGGTCAGTTTCTTACGACTTAAAACTTAGGTAAAATAGCTTAAGGTTAGTACAAAGATGGTCGTAAGGGCCTCGGTACAAAGATAATTATAACTGAGTCGTGAAACGTGAGTCGTAGTCATCAATATTTTGTAACTATATGCATACCAATACGTCGTATATAGTTACGTCAAACATTGTGTGTTGACTTACGACTACGATTCACGTTTCACGACTCAGTTGTAGCTATCTTTGTGTTCAAGCTCTTAGGCTGATTCTACAATAGGTAAACCGTAAGAAATTGATCAATCATAGATGATTATTTTCCTAATATTCAACTGTGATTGATCAATTTTTTACGGCTTACATTTTTTACAATCCTATATTGTAGAGTCGGCCTTAATTGAATTGACAGAGTTGTGAAAAGAAAACAAAATTTCCGACTGTATAATTTGTTATTCCTATTGTAATATTTTTTCTATAAAGTGAGAAGTAACCATTATGATATTCTCGTGTCATTCGAATCACTTGTTCACACAGAGTCATTAATGCCTTAATTCATGAGTACGTTTCTCGGAGTAAATATCTTTCCCATAGATCTTGATAAAACGACTAATCTCGCAAAATCGAGATTGCGTTAGTCCAACTATAATTAACGACTAATCTTGTAACTCATCACCCGGATGATGCAGAGCTGTTACGGTATTTCTCGCTTAATTCGTCGAAGCCGCTAATCTAATTTCGCTGAAACCGCTAATTTCAATGGAATCCAAATACAATCTCGAAATGTGATTCGTTACCTTACGATCGCACGCGATTGTATACGCGAATAGAAAATCCTGCTTTTTCGTAAGAACGCAGCTGCCGATTTTCCGATGAGATTCCATAAACAATTATAATGCGATTATTTCGAACGCAACTCTATTTTCCGAGGTTTTACGCGTCCCTTTATATCGTGTCTTCTCTTACTTTTCTGGTTTTCCCTGAATAATGTATGAGATTCCGGCGTGTATGTGTTTGTATTATCGCCTTGGCAGTTTGAAATTTACGACACACATGCCCTACCATATAGCAGAATCTTACCTTTAAAAGAGATTTATTTCATGAAGACATCGTAATTTTTAGCAGAAAATATCTTGATATTTTTACATCTTGAAAATATTTACAAAAATATCATGATAAATATTCTTTTTCTTACAAATATTTTGAATATTCTTTCGCGTCTAAATCTGAATCTTTTAGCTTAAATGTTAAAACTTTTATTTAATAAAAATTGAAATTTAAGCAGAAGTGAGAAAAAAATAAAATTTGTTTAAAAATAACTAAACAATAAGGACATTTGTATAATTTGGCAACAAGGAACCGGACTCCGCTCTCCTTTATTTCGGAGAAACTTGAGAGTGAAATTTCTCGTTTGTGCTAAAAAGATTCAGATTACAGACGGAGAGATAATAATTACTAATCAAGACAAAATGGCGAAATAAATTGTATCAGACAACACAAAGTCTAAAATCAAATATTTATTATCAAATGAACATTAAAAGTCTAAAATTAGACGTTTTATATCCCAATTTTGGACTTTGTGTCGTGGATTGTAAATATGTAAATAATTGTAAAATATTTTTAAAAATCATGAGATTAATATTATCTTTTTCTTACAAATATTTCGTTAATAATAATTACTGATTAACGCAAAGTGGTGAATTAAATTGTACCGTGTTGTACTATACTGTATCATACTGTAAAATGAATAGA